ATAATTATTTTCAGACACCAGTTGCTTGTCACATTCAAATTGGTTGTCATAGTAATGACACTAATTTGTGGAGATTCAGTGCATTGAGTTCCACAAATCTGAATGCATTATTTGTAAATCGACTGTTAAGATAAACATTTTGCACAATTTAGTATCTGTAATAGTGTTGCCACTAGATGCCTGTGTAGCCCTATGTAACAATCCCTAGTGGCTAAGACATTGCACATAATTTACACATAAATCACACATGAATTAATTTTATTACATTTTGATTTGGATACTATATACTACATATTGTTTAATTTGCACATAAATCACACTTAAATTAATTTTATTACATTTTAATTTGGATACTATACTACTACATATTGTTTAGATATTACTTACTTTTTTGTCTTTATCTGGTTTTTGTTAAATTTTGTTGTTGTTGTTTCTTGAAACATTGATTTAAAGTGTCAGTTATTGCATTATTATTTCAGTTAAACCTATAAAACCCCTTTGTTACCCCAAACTACATATAAAAGCTTTATCAGTGGCATAAAAGTAACCAATGCAGCTACTTAATCATTAACTACATATAAAAGCTTTATCGTGGCATAAAAAGAAACCAATGCAGCTACTTAATCATTTGCTACTCGTTAACGTCACCTTTAAATAACGCAACGCTCTGCCCTCTATGACGCTGCTCCTATTAAGGGCTGTTGGAAGTGAATGAATTGATTCAGCATTTCGACACCTCCGTAAGGATGCATTTAACTCGACAAAGCGGTCTAATAAAGGATCTATTGATCTTGTGAATTAGCGAATTTTACTATACAAATATTTTTTAATTGGATGTTAAAGTTTATATGGGAATATTACATGACACGCTGATCCTTTAACAATGCATTGGCGCAAAAAACGCACACCTTTTGGACAAATCTGCCACAAAGGTGCCACAAATACTGCCTAAACAAAATACTGATTTTGTGCACTTTATTTACTGTACCAATATTTTAAATTGGCCTTTGAACTTAGCTTTATTGCATGGCAAAAAAAGTGTTACCTTGCCAAAGCACTGACAGAGCCCACTGATCTAATGGCATTGTTGAGCGCTCCAAATGCAAACTTTGCATGCAACAATCAGGCAGCAATTGACAGCACTCTGATCTAGTGGCATACAGGCATCGTCAGATTGACAGTACTCTAGCCCAATAATGTTGGGGGATCCAGTGGGGGCGGCAGTCATATTTCAGGGTGACCATGCCACTCTTTATCACAACCCTGCTAAAAGTGCCAGTACGTGCGCTCATTGGTGCCCCTTCAGCTGGTGGCGCCCTAGGCGACCGCCTAGCTCGCCTATGCCTAGAAACGGCCCTGTGTGTATTCTACTAAATTTCACAGGTGTTCCCTTAAAATCAGTGTGGAAAATGTTGAAAAAAGTTGACCATCTAGGCCTACTTTAGAACCTTAAATTATTCATTATATCATTTGTCTATGTTAGAATATTAAGAATATTAAATTCCAAGGTGATATTCAAACATTGCATTTTCCTCTGAAATTTCCAACAGGTTCTTGGCCATAAATGTCTAGATACAAGTATTAAGCGCAGATATAGTTCACTGTCATCGTTATGGACTTACGATAACGATAAATATCACACATATCATTATCTTATCTAGAAATATGTAGTTCTGACTAGTTCATATCTAACATGCTGTTCTATGATTGTGGTGTAATTGTGAGCAGAAGCCCTTAGTCTTCTCATGCAGGTCATAGTGTATTGCTGCACTAATGCAATAACATGATTATGGGGTGGCATTTATCAGAGGTGCGTATACACTGGCATTAGACTTCTAGTCACATCCCGCACAGACGAGACGATGAGACCACCGAGCACATCTCACTCTACCCATCTGCATATAGATTAGGGACACACACACACACACATATGTGTGCGCAACAAAGACATAATGACTAAATTTGGTCTCTTATAAAAAGCTAATTCAAAAAGGAACAGATAATATTTTTTGCATTAAAGAGAAGCATCTGAATAATATCAGTGTTTTGACCTGTTTTTCAAGCCATGTAAACATCCTCCGTTTGTTTTTATAATTTCATGCACTCTAAACGTCCTCCAGATGAGGAGCATTCATTAATAATTTTTTAATTATAGCTGATAACACCTTTTAATCTCAGAAATGCACACACACACACACACACACACACACACACAAACTCACAACCTGAGTTTGCCGGTCCTATTGTGCACGTTCTTATTGCCCAGACCCTCTTGTCCACATCGCCTTCACAATGAGGGTGTGTGAAGCCTTAATAATGAGAGTGTGTGTTTCTGTGTGCCTAAGGGTAATAAGCAGTGAATGTAGTGTGTGTGTGTGGTCGAGAGAGCCAGAGTTTCTACTAAATTTCACAGGTGTTCCCTTAAAATCAGTGTGGAAAATGTTGAAAAAAGTTGACCATCTAGGCCTACTTTAGAACCTTAAATTATTCATTATATCATTTGTCTATGTTAGAATATTAAGAATATTAAATTCTCATAGTAATAAACCCAGGAAAATTGAGCAATTATGAAGCAATTTGATTTTCAGACAACAATAGTGTCAATATTTAGCTCAATTTAGTTCTGTATTAATTCAGTTCAGTTCAGTAAGTGCGAAGTTTTGAATCATTTATGAAACAAGTGTGTCTGGAGTTTGAAAATCCCTGATTGGTAGATTAGAGAATCATTTTAATGTACATTTTTAGAAAGCCATTGACCTTTAAAGCCGAACTGTTAGTTCTGCAGAGCTTGTCATGCCAAACGGAACTGTGAAATAATAACTCTGTCTTTGGTCAGACAAACACGAAAATGTTTGGTAAATGTTTTGATCAGTTATTGTATAAATATAAAAAATATATAAATATACTTTTAATACAACTATATCTTTTTGTTTTAGTTATTTTAGTACATCAAGTTAAGCCAAATTAAATAAGAAATATTTACCTCGGCCGGTTCCGATGTTCGGCATGGAATATCTGGTTATGTGAGGCATTTACAGATCGAATCTTGCACCTTTAATATCTGCTCGCACACAAATCGTGGCCACCCTGATTAATATCAAACATGTTTAATATTTATAAGTGGTTAAACAAATACAACATTTTAGGCAGATACTCATATTTAAACTGCTGTATCCGGCTGATGATTTTAAGCACTTTTTTTTTTACAAGCATTAGTCCACATGCTTCAGAAAAAAAGCACTACACTGTCATTTATTTTTATTATTATCTTTATTATTTTTACAGGAGAGGTTTTACCTCTAATAGAAATTATGAAGTTATGTTGATTAATTGTATGTTTGTTCTGCAGAATGCCTTTCCAGTGTCTGGGCAGCTCTACACAACTCATCTCCTGTCACTCGAAGCCCTGCTGACAGTGATTGACAGCACAGAGGCTCATTGTCAGGCCAAAGTGCTCAACAGCGCTGCACAGCAGGACCAATCAGAATCTACGACCGTAGAAGGAGATAGTTCAGTCAGTACAATCACTGATTCAACAACAGGTGGGCAGGATCAAGAGTCCCAGGATGGCAGACAGAACTGCTGTAATAAATGAAGAAAACTAAGTAAACTACAGTTAATTAAGGAGCTTGTTTATTTCTCATAATAGTAACCCCTTCTTCTTTCGTTCACTACATACAGAGGCTGGCAAATATGCACCCAGTTGTAATGGGCAGAATGCTGTTGTGTCAGAGTCAAGAAATGCCTGTCCTCCCACCAGCGGTCATCTGATGGCAGAGAAGATGAGATTAGGTAGACAGGATCAGGAGGAGACGGACACTGGTACTTTGCTGATGTTTTGCCTGTTAAATGCACAAAGACAAAATACTTACTGATTTGCAATTAAACATTCAGGGATTTAGAATAATCAAATGCTGCTTTGTCTTAATCCAGCAGAGAAGAAAAGCTTGAAGCCTCACCGTTTCAACAGCTGTCTTCCAGACTCTCAGGAACTTTTAGAGATCAAGAACAAGAAGAAGGTGAGCTGGTCATGTGCAGTTATTTGCTTTTCACATTCATGAATATTAAGACCTTTAAATTTGTACTAAAATGACATTTTATTTTCTTTATACTTCAAAGCTTCTGATCACGGGTACAGAGCAGTTCAATCAGAAGCCCAAGAAGGGCATTCAGATCCTGCAGGAGAAAGGCCTGCTCAGCAGCCCCATGGACAATAATGAAGTAGCCCAGTGGCTGAGAGAAAACCCCCGCTTGGACAAGAAGATGATCGGAGAGTTTATCAGCGACCGCAGGAACACTGACCTGCTCGACAGTTTTGTCAAGTAAACCTCCTTTTTATTGCATGTTTTTTGGTATGAAGGTTAGGCTAGCTGCATATCGCCAACTCGGAGCATTAGTTGGAGATGTTTTGGTTCAATCTTATGAAAATAATGAAGAAATGTTAAGGTCATATTTCACACCTGAAGAAAAAAGGAAATTCTGTTTGAAAGCAAGGAAACCCATTTTAGGATTTACTTTAAGAAAAATGTATTTTGCTCCCATTTCTTATTATAATGTGGAATAAAATGTGGAAAATGTACTCTATTACAGAATTGACAATCAAATGAGAATAACCACTGAAAACCTCTCATACAGGATTTATTTAAAGGCATAGTTCAACAAAAAAAACACCCTCATCCTCATGTCATTCTAAACCCAAGAATTTTTAATCTTCGAGAAACAAATCAAATGAAGGTATTTGTAATGAAACCTGAGAAATGTCTGTATCTCCACTGAAAGTCCATGCAACCAAACTTTCAAGCTTCAAGAAGTTCATAAAGACATCTTAAAATTTAACCATACGAGTCAAGCGGTTCAATCCAGGTCTTCTGATCAGATCTTTTTATGTGATGAACAGGTTTAATTGAGGCTTTTTGGTAACATTGTAAGTGTATATATGTATGTGTAAATATAAATGTTATAAAAACATTTTGATGGTTCTAAAAAAAATAATAATAAGTTGTTATTACAGGGAGGGTTAAGGCAAGTCAGTTAAGTAGTTGAGATGGTTGTTGTGGTGTTAACATTCGTCAACACCAACTTCTTGTTTGAGTCTAATACCTGAAAATTGAATGTGATCCTTTAGCTATTGATGTTATTCTCACTTATGATTACTATCAGGCTCAAAGTGACTGTCAATATGGAGTTTGAGGTAATTATACCTTATGTTAAGACCATCTCTTTCTCTTCCTCAGCACGTTCACCTTCCAGGGCCTGCGCATAGATGAGGCGCTCCGGTTGTATCTGGAGGCATTCCGTCTTCCTGGCGAAGCGCCTGTCATTCATCGGCTCTTGGAAACCTTCACTGACAACTGGCAAGTAAGTCAGCTGCCACACAAACACAAGCACGGACTGGCAGGGACTGACATGAATATATATATACACTCGAGCGGGAACACACATATATATAATCTTTAAATAGATTGTAGGTTCGCTGCAGTCACAGACACGAGCATTCTTACAGTTCTTCCATTACCACACTCCAAGGCAATCCTGGCCACCAACTGGCCCCATCATCAGGTAATTAGGGCCAGCGGAACAGCAGTTCGCTCGGGATCAAGGACAGGGTCATTAGTCACGCAGGTAATCGGGGAAGAGGAAAATGTTGCACTGGGAAGTGAGAGACATCCATCTGGCCTGCAGAAAGCAGCTCAGGCGATCCGAGGACATTTCATACATGCTCACTTACTGCATTTTAAAGGCAGCTCTCTGTGTGTGACCTGGAAAGTATTTGTAGAAATTTATTTTCTTAGGCGCCATTCTCAATCACTACGAATGAGCTCATGCGAGTATGCCACATAGACATGGGGGTTGTGCCCTCCCTGAGGCAGCAATGTATCGAAACTGGAATGGATTCAGTGTCTGACATTTACACTAGTAGGAGATCCCGTAGGAATTACTGTGACCTTTTATATTTTTCTAGTGGCGAATGATCTTCAAAACGCTCCTGTAAAGATGAGCGTACATATTAGGTGATTTGATGATGCTATTCTTGTGCTCACAGTCAATTGTATGGCCTTGTTCTTTTGTGTGCAGAAAGTGAACGGTAATCCCTTCCAGTCAAACGACGCTGGCTTCGCCCTGGCTTACGCAGTCATCATGCTAAACACTGATCAGCACAACCATAACGTTCGAAAGCAGAACATCCCCATGACACCGGAGGTGAGCCACACATGTTCCTGTTAACGACGGGAACATCCAAAAGTCATTCAGATGTTCAGGGCCACACATGCAATCACTCTCTGAGAGATCAGTTTCAGCTCTGAGTTAACCGTAGAAGATAAGTGTATTAATTGTTGTTTATGAAACCATCTGTCTAGATTTGCCACACATGCAGATTACTGTTATGTAGCCATGTCTTGCTTTTACGTGCTTCAAACAACTGGTCTCAATTTAGTGGAGTTTTGCGATCATGTAAAAAAAAAAATTTTCAGCCACAGCAGTTACACATTTACAAATGTGTTATTAACAACTTCACTAGCATCATAGATTTTCGATTTTTGCTTTTTGTTGTCGTATATTACACTTAACCATGTTTATGCTGTCATGCTCTAGCAAAACTTAAGTCCTCTAATTCTTAACCGATACAATGTTAAGAGATACAATAAGAAACTAAACAATCTCACAAGACCCAATAAAAAGTCAGATTTTACACCAAAATTAAAAAAGAAATGAGCAATTATAAATTTATATTGAAAAATTAAGCTTTATTTAGTCATTAAGATCATTTTTTGCATTGTGACATTTTTATGACAGTTAAGGAAATCTCATTACTGTAATTAAAAAAATCCCATTGTCATTATCATAAAAAAAAAAAAAAAAAAAAA